CAAAAAAAAAAAAAAAAAAAAAGATTGGAGAGGCTGCTGCCACTTCTGGATGGAAAAACACTTGGTTTGCTCTGATTATTCATTTAAGAGGACTCAACCAAAGCCAAAAGTGCTGTAGCAATGTAACATGACCGCTACAGCTAAAAGTAGATGCGATGAGAAATGTTATTCTTAGACATAGTTCAATCGACTCAGAATTCACCGTGAAGCAGTCGAAAACCTGCCGCTGCTGAGCGTGAGTCACTGTGTGGCCTACAGCTAATGCTTCTGGAGGTGGAAAAAAAATAGGATACTGCTGTCTCATTCAATGCACACAGGAAAAATACACACCAAAAACCTGAAGCTGATATTTTATTTGAACAACCACTTTTTGGAGCCTCTCATTTCAGAGCAGGGTTTTCTTTGGGGGGGACGGGGTAGAAATGTGTATTTTCTTTCCAGCTTAAAAATATACCCAGGCATTCTGTGAATCACTTTCACCAGCCAGCTGCCTGCTTGTTATGCGGTCTTTAGCTGCAGTTGCCAGATTAAAACAAAACAATAGGAGAACACTTTAAACAGCATCAATACTAAATCTGGACACCCACAACAAGCCCTGTTCCTGGAGTCAGTCTAACGTGGCTCTCTTCCAGCCACGAAAGCCTAATGTTTTGTCAACGACACAATCTGAGCAGCCGTGCATACTGTCCCCTTTAAACAACAGAGGGTGAGAGAGAGAATCGACAGAGTCAGAGTGCTATAGCTGGCCTGTCAACAGCAGATGGGACAAACTCAGAGTCAAAAGGACAGAGTTGCATCGCCGCACAATGCTGACCTATATAAAGCACGCCCCTCCACGTGCCCATACTGCCATGAGGCAGGAGGCTTTTCAGTGACTGGGCTTAGCTTGGCAGGCTGACCGCTGTTTCTGCCTTTAAAGCAATTGAGCTGCTAAGCCCAAGAGAATATTCTCGATGTCTGCATTAAAGTCAAACAGCGATAAGTTTTCATCCCAATCTCACGCCAACCCTTATTAGTGGCGTGAGGGGAAATAAACAAGCAAACAAACACGCACTTTAAGTAGGCCAGGTCAGGCTGTCTGGGATCCTCTTTACTTTTCACCGCTCTGCACTCAACTTCTTCATTTCCTTTGCTCACAGTTTCAGTTTAATTAAGCACAACATGCAATTCAAACACTGTATAACTGCAGAAGAGCTAAAAAGACTAAATTAGTCTCGCAAAATCACGCAACAGTGATAGGAATCTAAACAGTTTTTTGTTATTGAGCACAATGACTACTATTCACTTTCCCAATAAGGCAGATGAGAAATATAAATTCAATAAAGAAATAAAATGTGTTATTTCCTCAGCCTTGAGCTTATCCACCATGTCTGAGGAACTCTCCAGCTAAAATAGTTTCAATAAAAACGGCAACTGCACACAGATAAAATAAATTTGACTTTTACTACTATTTTTTTTTTTTACTCAGAAGCAACCAAAACAAGTATTTCAATAAGGTAAATAATACAAAAAAGATAGAAGCACAATTAAATATGAGCAAATAAAGTTCAACAAAACAAATGAACTCTTTCCGCAAAGAGACGGAATTTGACGAGCTCCTCTGTACGCTTCATGAAGAGTTTTGACATCTCATTATTTCTCAATAAAGATGTGGTTTGATAACCTTTAAAAGAGTTTCTGGGTTTTTCCAACAGTAGCTGCATAGGCAGAGATGCAAACCCAGTCATTTTGTTCTATAACCAGGCCTCAAATACGTCAGGCACAGCTCAGTTAAGAAAAGAGCTACGAGGACTGTTATCTACAGACACATCAAGATTTTCCACTGAGTACATACACAATGAAATGTGAGGAAATCACCAAAAGATATGTGAGCCTTTGGCTTCGTATTTGTGACCGACCCACGAGCATCTGCATCCATCCATTTATCATTTGAACGCTCTTAACAAGTTTTTGGGCGTAACATTTGATCTTCGGCTCTGTAACCTTACACTAAAGTCGATGTGTAATGTGTTCAGTGACGTATCAGCTGTCACCTCTGCGTCCCAAATTGGGTAAACTGATAACTTGATTAATGTAATGTGCTTTCTCTTTATAGCTTTATGCACACAAAAAAGGGGTGGGGTGCCTGTCAATATCCTTCACAAAATGTCACTTTTATCACCTGGGATTAACTTCCGATTAAATATTACATAAACTGGAGAAGGTAAATCAATACAGTGTGACCTGATGTTAGGACTTTTCACTTCTCGAAATTTGAGATCGGATTTAGTGAAATCCACAAAACAGTGTGTGAGGCAACTGTTTATCCACGAGATGTCCAGTAACAGTATGTACTCTGGAAACCAGACAAGCTGTGATTGTGAAAAAGGATGACCGCACTGATTACTCAAGCACCTCGTCCAAAGTACAGATCACACCTGCCACAGAGAGCAAACTCTGCTCAGATTACGACTGCACTCAAGGCGCAGGACGGCCTGCGTTCAACAAAGTGCTTATTCAAGAGCCCCGACATGAAGTCAGCAGTTTTGGTCAGCTAAATCAGCCCATCAGTGTGGAAGAACCAGCCAAAGGCTCACCTGCAGACAGCTTCAGGTGAAATAAATCTGACAGCTCTGCAAGACTAACCACAAGCAATGACCTCACTCCTGATTTATGGTAGCTGAATGTTATGCATACTGCCAACCTCACCGAGTGAAACCACTGTAAAAATAAATAACACGAGCAGCAGACAAATGGTGGCAGATTATGTCTGATTTCATCAGCATTTCTGCTATGACAGTATGAATTTTGAGGACATGTATTTCACAACTCATTTAGCCTTGGATGCACTCAAAGATCACTGAGCAAACATCCATTTCTGATGTTTTTTTTAATGAGTCAACCAGAGATACACAGTGACCTCAGTTGCCAAAGAAAGCTTTATTTGCTCTGCTGACTTCAACAAAGATACAAAAAAAGGTCAAGCAGATGACATCAGTTCTAACAAGTGGGTCAACTGCAGCAATGTGACCAAATGATTGCATCACTGTGGCACACTTTAGAGGTCTCTACGCACCTGCGTCATTGCATTTCTTATCTACCCTTAAAGATGGTTCACCCAACGCAAGATTCAAGATGAAGTAGACCAAGTCAACATGTTTCAAAAGATGAGAAAATGACTGTGGCTGACTGCAGCCAAAATACCAAAAAACACACGCTATACAAATATGGCTTAAATGAAGTAGAACCAAAGTAGCACGAAAAGATGAAGGAGAACAAATAAATAGAATAGAAAAAAAGAGGCCAATCCAAAAAATATATAAATCTACATATAATACAATAAGGAGCTTACAATATTACACACAGAAACCATCTCTGGATGATTATGTAACCCTTTAATAGGTTTATTTTTGGCCAAAGGAAAAAGCAGAAGGTCACAAAAAGGTTAACTCTCCCCATCTGTGACACATTATTCATTTAATCACATTTTCTCTGCAAAATTGACGGCAACATCAAACCAGTATCCAGTAAGCAGACCCCAGTCTGCAGTCACCTAATTCAAACCCGGCTCAGTGCTAAATTTTCAAACCAATGACCTTACTTCTGTGAAACAAACAACTTTTGCAACAACATCCAGACTCTTAAGAGTGAGGAGCCTACGATAATGCAAACTGGGGAAAAAAATTAAAATCGCAATTAATCACGTTAAACAGAGGAACACTTCAAAGCATTGCCTCTCAGCACACTGACACCAGGCTGAGGCTCTGGTATGACCGGCCTTCTTGTGAGACAACTGGAAGGGCAGATTACACAGCACATCTCATTCCTCTGCACCCACACGCATCCCCAAAACAGACACGGCCTCTATCTGAGTCACAATGAACAGTGTTATCCTGAGTCACACACTCTGATCCCCTTAGCAACAAAGGCTTTCACAGTGTTAGTGATGCAACTCACAATCAATCATATCCTCGGCTATTTTTAAAATCCGGGAGGATGTTGTGTGGGAGCCTTCTGCTGAATGTATAAACAACATTCACTGGGTGGGAGGGGTGGATGGACAGATACAAGTAGACAGTGTGGAGAAACTGGGCTCCTGACAATGATACAGCCCCCCCACCCCCCCCACAGCTGCTTTAATGGCATCTTTGCTCCATTAGGAAAGAAACAGGAAAGAGGAACGCTGCATCATTTGTGCAGCTCTTCCATCTACAGCACATGTGCTGTATCGCAGATGTATCACTCAATTATTAGCCGTTTGCTGATATACCAATATCAGTATTTATTACAGACGATATATAGAGATTTAAAAGGTAAAGAGGAGGCAGGAGAAACACCCTTCAACCATGTTATAAGTGTTGATGTGGCAGCCTGCAACTCCCCTGTCAGCAACACGTGCTTGGAATGCCACAAACATGACAGCTGGCTGAGTCTGGCGGAGAGTATAAGGGCAATTTATGACTTATTATGACAAGTAAACAAACTGAATTATCATAATATCTCAGTAAGGATTTATTTAAAGGAAAATCTTCAGTTACAGTTGGAGAAATCATTTTTTGTGTGTCTGTAAAGAAAAGACTTGCCGAGATATCACATTTTAAATCCCTGAATATTGTCATCACTCTCAAAAATCCTGTATCAGTCGGGATCTAATGTGCTGTGCCAGTATAGCTGTCTTAACAAGTGTTCGCAAGATCCGTCTGTCTTTGAGATAGTTCAACATACAGAAAAAAAAAAAAACTATGTGCTAAATAAAAGAGGCTAGTATAAAAAATCCCTGTGTGCTTTCCAACTAACTCCATTAATAAAAAGGCCCAGCTAAGCACTGACCACCACCATCCCTCTAAGCCCTATGGAAATGATCCCGTCCCTTTTTGGGATCCTGATACACAGTGTAATGAGCATTTAAAATTACTGGGACTCAAATGGAAACAAATATTGGGATTAACGTTCCACTTGAGAATACCAGACCTTTAAACTTCAGCACACAGAACTCCAAACATGGTAGCAGCATAAAAAGAAAAACAGACTCTGAAGACTGTCCAAAAAGAAAAGAAAAAAAGAAAAGAAAAAGCCTCTTCTGTCAGCATAAAGCCTAACAGCAAATTTATAATATTCACTATATACGCTGTCAAGTTATGGTGTCAGTCACTTGACTTCTGACACATAAATCTAACAATCAGAGGACAGGGTGTCAATTCTCCAGCAGGGGGAAGCCTAAAAATGGACCATGACCCAAGGCAGCAACAATATATAGCACGCTTTGGGCAAGAGAGCTTTCTAGAAACAGAAATCCTAGACAGATCAAGATCAGGATTAAAAAGCACAAAAAACAAATCCAAAACCCAAACAAAAAGAGTATTAATTAAAACAATCTGAGGAGAGAAAAGTGGTAAAATGTTTAAGAGTAAATGCTCCTTTACAACCAGACATCCAGAGCCGGAAATCAGCACAGAGCAGAGAGATTGGGGTTAAGCTCAGCTCAGACCACAAAATCAAATGGCCAGTTATCAACCAAAGCAGAAGCATATGGGCATAACGACACTCATAACAAGTTAATTAAGGTTAGTTTAAAAAAAAATAATATAATAGTAAAGGAAGGAACCACCTTACACCAGCTTAAAGGTCAACTTCACACTGTGATGATAACATCAAAGGTCAGCGTCTGAGGGAAATTACCATTAAGTCATTTTTCAGCTATTTTTAACTAATTCTATGTTTCCAAAGCTGAATGATGCAACGCAGTGATGCAAAAAAAAATAGAGCAAAGGACTAAGGAACTCAAATTGAAAATTACAATTCAGGCCAGGCATCACTTTCATCCATTAGGTCATGTTTAAGTTTGAAAACCGCCTCGAACAAATCATCCTCTCTATTTATAGACATGAGTAAACAGAAGGTAGATAATGGACTCAGTTTCCTGACTACCTGTGAGAGCTGCTGAGGGGCAAAAAAAAAAAGCACCACACACACAATCAGCTGGCAGTTTATTAGGCACATCTAATTAAAAACTATAAACTTTGATGGCACGATGTTTGTGGAAATTGCCTTGATTAAGACTTGCGGTGTTTTAGGAGACTGCAGTGTCTGCTGTTGCTGAATTGTGCCGAATTACAGGAGGCGTTTCTCTCATTTAGACTAGCCCTCATTCAGGGTGTTTCTTGGCTTAAAGGATTTTTATTGTCATTCTAACATTTGATGTGAAACAAAGTTTTGCACTCAGCGAACAAGAATGAGAACACCCAAGAACATCGCATACAGAAACAAGGAGCAGGAAATACATTTGCATTGTAATTTAGCATAAATAAGTGGTGGACAGTGCAGAGCCCAGTGGTTTCTCATGTTTGTTATCTTTGGCTGGGAGCAGCAGAGACTATAGAGCACATTTAGGGCACTGATGGGGCTTTGGCTACATAAACAAACATTATTCATCCACATGTAGTGAAGGTAAAACAGACTGTGTTACCTTAATTAACAAGTCTGAGCAATTTGCTATTTTTTTTGGTCATTGGATAACCAAAAATGTATTTTAAGCTCGACTAAACTAAGCCCCACTTAGAAATAACTTGTTATAATTGGAGGGCCAAATGTCTTAAGTAGGTGCCAACTTTCTTTCTTTTTTTATTGCAGGAAAAAAACCCTCCTCGTTGATATAAATTGACTGGCTGGATTTATTACCCTGTGCCGAGAGCAACACAGTAAGCTTTTCCTCACCTTTTCATTGCTCCAAGTGGCTGCACCTAAACTGGATACAATCAACCTTAATAGGCTAAATAAAATGACCCCAAAAGCCTGACTTTCTCACAAGAAATCAACTTTATCTCTTTCCATTTTGATGCCAGCTGGCCACATTTTTCTTTTACTATTTTCTAACAGCTTCCATACATAAATACTGAGGCATAAAATGAGGCAGAGCACTTCCACTCAGTAGCACGGCTAAGAGATGCTGCAGTCACTGTCAGTGTGAATGAGAAGGGCTGTAAATGTGGTATGTGACTTGAATTCAAAGCTTGTGGGTCATTCTAGCTGCCCGGTAAAGCACCAAGAAGCCCGAAAACTACCACATGTAATTTCTTATTTAGCGGTGTAAAGCTGTTTAAACAGAACAGAAGTCTGGGGCAACTCGTAATGATTGTCAAATCCATGCACAACGCAGTGAAATGTACACTATAGACGCCATTTTAAGAATGTCTGGAAGGCGGCGGTGAGGAGGGAGAAGACGTTAGCAATAAGTTAAGGGAGGGAATTAAAAAAAATAAAATCTTACCTTTTCACATAGTGTTTTTACTTGTCCCTCTGACAGCTGCTTGCATTCATTGAGCTGCTCGATCCACTGATCCAGTTCTTTCGTAAACGCCTTTTCGTCCATTTCTGTGTGTTTTCGGGTTTGCTGCAGTTTGTCACGTTAGCTAATTCGGGTTAGGAGACGACTCTCCCAGAGGTTACCGTCTCTCGAGGGCTTACAAAACGGCCACAGCAGAAGCTAATCACTCTCTTACTAATAGGCGCATGTATCGCTAACTGCCAGATCACTGTGATGATTTGACTGAATTGAAACTGGGAGAGGGAGGGAGAGGTGACAGTTAAGGATCCACCCTTGTCGAGCCGCTGGCGAGCAAATAACAAACTTCCGGTTGTGCTTCGAAATAAAAGCTTCTCGGCGGACAAGTTCTGAAATACACCCTTACCTAAAAGAAAAAAATAATAAGAAGAACTTGCTAGGCTTAAACATAACAACAATGCAACTAGAAAAAACTAGCATCTGGCAAATAATCGAAAAAAAATAATAAGAGTCTTTAATTGACCACCTTTTACAACTTTTCTACGTATGTAAATTTTAATTTTATGTAAACAGCTCAGGTAAACATGGTCTGAATAAATTTCTGCCACACTCTGAAACTTACACAGTGACAAAGGTTGGTAAATATACATAACATATATCCCAGAATGTCGTCTATTATGGTAGATGTTTGAGGATATATTATTTTTATGATGATTGTTATTATTATGTGAAGATTGCGTCAGACTAGGGTATTGTTGAAAAATCTAATAATTTCCGGTCTAACGCTGTGTGGTCTACCTTTACTAAAAACAGAGCGCCGCCCGAAGCAACCAGAGACCCATGAAGGCTACTCACTGATTGGTTCGCTGAGCTGCTTCCTGTGCAGTTTCATTGGCTCGCTGTTTATTGGGGAAGTTACTAACACAAACCAAAGAGAATACGTCATGGCTCTGTGAAAGCATGCCGTGCATTTCGCGTTGTGGCCATGATGTCACTGTTTTACCTCCTTGTTGTCAAGGCCAAAAAATGTAAACAAAACAAAAGACAGCGTTGTCTTTTAACCACGCTTTCTTTAACAGGCTTACCTTCCGCATTGTATTCATTCCTCTCAGTTTTCGGTCATAAATAAAGGTCGCTAGGCCCATTTAAAGGAGTTTATTGTTTGTGTACGGTATCAGCAAAACTGCCAAGTGATCTCACTCAGACTCAGTCCTAAAGCCAGTGACTTTCTAACAAAAACAACGATTAAAGATTCGTTGATAATACATCTGTGCGTCACAATGTGCACTCAAGATTCATCACTGTAATAAACATAATCAGAGTTAATCTTTCACAAAAAGTTCTCTCTTCACAGAAACACCAAGTTCACCTTTAAATAACACTATATTTCCAAACCATATTTACCTATATAGAATCGTTTATGAGGCACTTTATAAAAACTACAGTTCCCAGGTCAATTTATTTAATTGCCTGAAATTAGGCATGTCCCTTCGATAGCTCAGTTGGTAGAGCGGAGGACTGTAGGTATATGATAGCAGGAATCCTTAGGTCGCTGGTTCAACTCCGGCTCGAAGGAGCTTTTTGGGTGCTTTGAGTACTCCGGGATAGTAGAAAAACACTAAATAAGAATCAGTCCATTTACCATTTACTATATGTGAATTAATCAGCATGGTCAAGCCCCTTCTGTTCTTTGAAATTATGCAAAAGCACTCAGTGACTGAGGGTGAGAGCAACAATTCAGGAAATATTTCGAATTAGAAAAATGGGGGGGGTAAGCTTTAATTGTGAACATTGATCATCCCATACCAAGCAGTTTGTTAGAATGTGGCAACAACCTTTTTGGGATGAATTTGCTGACACTTTCAGCAATGACCCTGCAGTCGATTCACAAGAACCTTCTTTATATGTATGACAAACTGAAAGTTTCTGACTGCGGCTTTAACAGTTTCAATTCAGCATACGACCTGTTGTTCTTCTTTAACTCTAAATATAGACCTATTATATCATACTGTTATGTGAAGTCCAAAGCAGGTCTTGTCTTGTATTGTGCAAAAACATAAAAGAATGGAGACTTTACTAAGCCTGGTCCCAGTTAATCCCAGACTCAATTAAACTGGTAACATAATAAATCATATTTATTTTAGCTGGGGGCTCTGTGTGGAGCAGGGATCCCACATCTTTTCTAATCAGCCAGAACAACATTTGTCAGTTTGTCTTTAGTTTATTTTATCTATATATATATCTATAGAGATATATATATATATATATATATATATATCTATATATATATATATATATATATATATCTATATATCTATATATCTATATATATATATCTATATATCTATATCTATATATATATATCTATATATCTATATATATATATCTATATATATATCTATATATCTATATCTATATATATATATCTATATATCTATATCTATATATATCTATATATATATATATATCTATATATATATATATCTATATATCATATATAGTATCTATATATATAATAACAAATATATATATATATATGTATATATATATGTATAATATATATAGTATATATATATAATATATATATATTAACTATATATATATATATAACTATATATAATATAGTTTGTATATATATCTCTAAGGTTGAAGCTGTTGGTAGTGATCTTTTCTCTCTCTCTCCTTTCTATGTATATAATAGTATATATATATATATATTATATTATTACTAATATTAGTGATATAATAATTGATATATATAAGATAATTTATAATAAGTTATATATATAACTATTGTATATATAATATAGTTTTGAAACTTTGTATGATCCTTTCAAATTATATAATATTATTATAAATATACATAGAAAGATTCTGAAGTACAACTTCACCATCTCATCTACACAAAGAAGAATGTATATACACCATATATATATATATATATATATACATATATATACATATATATACATATATATACATATATATACATATATACACATATATACACATATATATACATATATATACACATATATACACATATATACATATATAAACATTTGTCAGTTTGCCTTTAGTTTATTTTGTCTTTATATATATATATATATTAGTTGTACAGTCTGACATATATATATATAGTTTGACTGTTGGTATGATCTTTCTATGAAATGTTGTGTTAGTTTTACACAGGATTCAACAGGATTCAAACCTTCCACAAAGTTCAACTTTTCATCATCAGTCAACAAGACATTTTCCCAATAGTCTTGGGGATCATTAAGATTTGTTATTTTTTTGGCAAATGTAAGATGAGCCTTTGTGATGGTTCATCACTGTTCCAGGTTTTCTCCATTGGTTTTGTAACCCCTTTCAGACTGATAAATGTCAATGACTTTGTTTCTAAGTTGTTTCTTGAGATTGTGATATGATGTGTTGCTTTTTGAGATCTTTTAGCCTATTTCATTTTGTCAGACAGGTTCTATTTAAGTGATTCTTGAGTCAACATATCTGGCAGCAACCAGGCTTACGTATCACTAATGAAATTGACATCAGCTTTCCAAAAAAATGTGGTTAATCACAACTAATTCATTTAACAATGGATAGCTTTTCTCCATAATAAATGTAATCATCACTTAAATGCTGAATGTTGTTTTCTTTCTCTAAGATTAAAATTTGCTTGATGATCTGAAAAAAAATAATAAATGTCTGACAAATATGTAAAAAAGCAAAAAAAACCCAAACACAAACAAATGCTTTTTCTTCTGCTTATCTATGGGTCACGTGTACCAGAACCTTTCCAAACACCAGGGTACACCCTGGAGGGGCTGCCACAGAGAACCCCTATAATCACATCTGTGGCCAATTTACAATCACCAACTGACCCTGGAAGCATGGCTTTGGACTGTGGGGGGCAGCTCAGCTGGCCAGTGGATACAAATCCAGGTGTCTTGTGCTAACCATCAAAATGATCCCTTTCCATTTTTGACCTACAGTAGCTGTCTGTTTTGATACTAAAACTGTTGCCTTAAAGGATTTTCAGGTCATTTACAATTCTGCCTTCAAATTACCACAAGCTCAAGGCAAGCAAGTGGAGTTTTATTGCTATTCCCTTATTTATTACATCTGTTGTTTTGCTGCTCTGACTGTAGCTTCTCTGTCATGACTTAACTGTATAGTCTAATTGTTTGTGTCAGCAGGAGGTCACCGCTGGTGTAGACTGGTGTCAGCAGAACCACCTGCTGATCAACGCCGGGAAAACCAAGGAGTTGGTGGTGGACTTCCGGAGACGCAGACACACCACACTGACACCGGTGAACATCCAGGGAGTGGACATTGAGATAGTGGACCCTTATAGGTACCTGGGTGTTCACCTGAATAATAAACTCAACTGGAGCCACAACACTGATGCTCTCTACAGGAAAGGTCAGAGCAGACTCTACCTGCTGAGGCGGCTGAGGTCATTTGGAGTACAGGGAGCGCTTTTAAAGACCTTCTATGACTCTGTGGTGGCATCTGTCATTTTTTACAGTGTGGTATGTTGGAGCAGCAGTTTATCGGCAGCTGACAGGAAGAGGTTGGATAAACTCATCAGGAAGGCCAGCTCTGTTCTGGGATGCACCCTGGACCCAGTGCAGGTGGTGGGAGACAGAAGGACTCTGGCCAAAATAACATCTCTGATGGACAGAGTCTCCCACCCCATGCATGTAAATGTTGCTGAACTGCAGAGCTCCTTCAGTGACAGACTGCTGCGTTCTCGATGCATGAAGGAGCGTTTCCGCAGGTCCTTCCTCCCTGCAGCTGTCAGACTGTACAATCAGAACTGCTCCCAACAAACATAGATGTTTACATCTGCGCTGTAACTGCAACAATTTAATCAATCGATTCGCACTATAACCTGGTTTGCCTCTTATCTGTAGTTATTTTTTTTTAATTTGATAACTGTACAGTATCAAATTACTGGTTTATAGTAACCATTGTCCTTAATGTAAATATGTAAGAAAAATTGTGTATGTTTCTGTTCTGTGTCCTGTTTGTTGTATATGTGTCTTTCTGGCTGCTGTTACAACGAAAATTTCCCTTTGTGGGACAATTAAAGGATTATTCTATTCTATTCTATTCTATTCAGCTCTATTCTATTCTATTCTATTCTATTCTATTCTATTCTATTCAATACTCGAACAGAGGCATGAGACTTGTGCCAGAGACTTGTCAAGACTGTTGTGAGCAGAGGCTGACAGAGGTCATAGGGGTTACGTCTAAAAGAATAACCATATACCATCCAGGAAAGCCAGTACATGTCAGTCTTGATGTAGCTCTAGATTTTCAGCAGACTTA